TCCTGTCTGCGCTGAGGCCTGAGCCTCCTGCGCTGCGGGGCTGGGGGGATGCTGGGAGATGGGCTGCTGTGAGGTCAGCTCCTCAGGGACCCGCGGGTGACTCCTGGACGGACTCTTGCTTTGCGTGTATCTGTATGTCATTTAGTTGCCTAGATCCTGCTGCTTCTTCACAGTCCCTGGTGACTGTGCTGATGTAAAACCACCCTCCTGCCTGAACCTGAACCTGCTCCCAGGCCTGTAGCAGCCACTGTGGAGCATAGTGAGCAGCCAGCTGAGTGCTCTCACTTGCCACACTGTAATAACAGGCTCTGGTAACCACTGTGCCTGGCTAGTGGTGTGCAGAAAATATTACCTCGGTGCATTGGTGCTTCTGACATTCATGAACTTAGTTACAAAGCTACAGCAAGGAGTGTGGTTCCTGAAGCTCCATTCCTGACACATACAGAAAGCTTTGATGCAAAAGATACTGTAAACACATCCATGGATGTTGCTGACTCCTGTATGTTACTGCCCTGGCTGTTGTAGGGATACAGTAGAGAAGTGATTTGTAGACAACAGAAATTGCTAGTCAACAGTAGGGACTAGTGTTAGTGCAGATTGCATAGCAAAATGTAAATGCTGTGATCTCGTATAGATAGAACTGAAAAGAGTTCTGGTCTTTTTCTACTTTACTCCACCAATATTACTATACCCAAGTGTTACATTAATGGCAGGGGTTTTATTTTTTTTATCACAGATGCCATTCATCAGGTGATCTGTAATTCTTACCAGGACTAGTTCAGTGCCTGTATCTCTGATAAGACTTTCAACTGGAGATGTTGGTCCCTCTCTCTTTATTTTTAATAATTTAATAACAAAATGTTTTTTCTTCTACAACACATTCTTGTGATATATTTTGATCCTCTTAGCTGAGCACTGCTTTCTTACTCAAGCTCTGCAAAGAAACTTACTCCTGGTGGTCATCTACAAGAGTTTTGCTCCATGCACCCTGTCTGCTAACTTCCACAGACTGCACTTCTCAATGTGTTGTGGAGAGCTGATAGTTTCCATAAGGCCTGTTAGCTTGGCTGACTGACTGTGGGGCTGAGTAAGTTAGAATTGCATTCCACAGAGTTGGTAAAGCCATTGCCATCCTGTGCAGTTTCAGTGACTGACTAACAGATCTAGAACTGGGACTGTGACCCTGGAAGAGGCAGGGTAAGTTATTCAGACTGCAACTGTTTTTCTTCAGAGAAGTTTGACTTGCTATACTGAATGGTTGCCTTGCACTGAGTTACAGCAAATGCATAGAGAAATTAGAAGAGTGAGCGAGAAAGGATTTCCATCTGTCTTATGTTGGGTTTGTTTGTTTTTTTAATGGCAGATGCTTTCTTTACCTGTCAAAAGAATGTGCTGCTGGCGAAGAGCGCGCCCACCCAGATAGAAGGTGCCGTTGCTGTGACCAGAGGAAGGTTGGTCCCAGAAGAGCAAGAAGCCCTTCTCCAGCAGTGGCTGGAGGAAGGAGCAGCAGATTTGCCAGCCAGTGAGAGTGCTCCAGCAGTGGGGAAAGGATCAGTTACACTCACGAGTGACTGGTTAGAAGGTTCCGAGCTATTGATGAGTAGGCTTAGTGACCTGAGTTCGGCTCCAGAAGTCATCCAGTGTGCTGGTCAGCAGCTCACAGAGCTGAATGCCTTGGCTTCTTCAGAATTGCAAGATCATGCAGTGACTGAACTGAAAAAAATTCCAGCAAAGGAACCAGTGGCTGTAGCAGGCAGTGCCCCTTGGGCAGCTGTGGTGCCACAGACAGATCACCTGATAGCTGGCTGTGCCACCATTGATGTAGAAGTGCCGAATGAAGACCCAGCTGTGCTGGCCTGGAGTTTAGCATGTGATGCAGGACCAACAGAGCCCCCAGCCTGGCCTGTTCCAGCTACAGTACAATTTTGTCCTCTCCAGACAGAGGTACCCTACCATGGTCAGTAGTAACAGCTCTGAATCTAATGTTTGGTTTGGGATTGGCATTTGTAGGGAATGTGGTCAGGTTATTGTGTCTGGACTTGCTGTCACTAAGACATTGATTGTATGTATCCATGCAGAATTGGCAGAATCTGCTAGTGAAAACTGTAAAGAGAGTTTTTGCTGAGGGAGGGCTGGTCACAGCTAGTAGTCTCTGTGCTATTAGACCATCTGGTCTGAACCTCAATATATGTTCATTTGCCAGGAACGATTCCCAAGTGCTGGTTTTATAATACAAAAAGCACCCAAAAGCAGTCAAGTTTCAGTATGCTTGACTCTGGTCTTCTGTTATGCCATCCCCATTGATAGCTATCCAAAGGCATCCAAAAAAGGCACATGAAAATCAGAGTGAGTGAGAGTTTGATCACTGGTTAGAACACCCTAGCTTAGGGAATGAGAATGGCTGTTTTCTGGGTCCCAGGGGAACAAAAGTATCAGCAGGGTGCCCAGCATGGCTGTAACTTGCCTTTTTGTCTCTTGCATATAGAAATTTTATGGAGAGAGTGGGAGGATCTTTCTGTCCAGCCCTGTGCGCTAGAGCAGGTCTCGAAAAGCACCCCGCTCTTTGAATTTCGAGTCATGTCTTACAACATCCTTGCCCAGGACCTGGTGGAGCAGGGCCTTGATCTCTATCTACACTGTCACCCAGACATTCTGAGCTGGAACTACCGCCTTCCAAACCTTTTGCAGGAGATCCAGCACTGGGATCCTGATGTGAGTATGACTTCCCACATCAGTGTTAGCAGAATTTGAATTTCTTGTTTGATCTAGCAGCATTAAAAATACAGGGGGGGAAGCAAAAAAAAAAAAAAAAAGGGGGTGGGGAGAGATCCTAGGACGATACGACCTGTGTGGTAACTGGACACAGATTCCTCAGAGAGTGTTTGAGGGCTTGTGCCTGTATTCTTTTAGTGTCTATCTTGCTTTGATTGTGTTACTGTAGAAACTAGTCATACTTTAATAGAAGGGTTTAACTTCTTCAAACAGCAGAAGTAGCGGAAGAAGAGATAATGTGTGTCTGGGGAGGAAAGGACCAGGTTTCTAAGGCAGCACAGGATGAGAAGCCTGTATTGAAGAGGACTTCATTACTTTCTCTGTTCCTTGAGGCCTCTTTGTGTGATGAAGGATCTTCTACCTCATCACTGTAAAACTGAATAATAAGCTAATGGGACACAGAAAGTTAGTGCTCTCTTTCTGGAAAGTGCAGGAGAGAGTTGCACTGATGAGATTTCTGGATGCAGGGTTATTATGTGAGTGCACTTTTCTGCTTTCCTCTTTCCCCAAAGCAACGTAACTAGCAAAAATACTGTTGGAGTGAAAAAGGTCTCTGCCTTCCTTCCAGGTTCTGTGTCTCCAGGAGGTGCAAGAGAACCATTACTGGGAGCAGCTGGAACCAACGTTCAAGGAGATGGGTATGTCCTGCTTTTGTGTGTTTGTACCTCCAGCTCATGGGACTGGCCAAGCAGTGCTTCCTGTCTGATGTCTTCAAAGCAGTTGATCTTGAGAGAGCTCTTCCTGGCTGTCAAGTGGCTGCTGGACCTACTTCTGAACTGCCTGCCTAGACCTTTACCCTTTCTTTTCTTATTCATCCTTCTCAGAGTTGACAGATCAGAGTAACATAACTGGGAGGGTCCTAGAAGGACAAGGAGAGAGAAAATACCCTCAATGGTAAACTGTGATTATTTGAACAGAACTGGTTATAATTCTGTACCCAGATGTAGTAGGAACCTCTTCTGCTACCCAGACTTGCTGAACTCCCCAGTTGATGGGGAGAGCCTGAGGTAGTGGCCAGATAAACCTTTTAATAGGTTTTGGTTTCTGTTCAGGCTTTGCATGCGTCTATAAGCGCAGAACTGGGACGAAGACAGACGGCTGTGCAGTGTGCTATAAGCACAGCAGGTTCCAGCTGATCAGCCTCAGCCCCATAGAATACTTCCGGCCTGGCCTGGATGTCCTCAATCGGGATAACGTGGGCTTGGTGCTGCTGTTACAGCCTCTGCTCCCGGAGGGCTTAGAGCTGAAGGCAGTCAGTCCTTTGTGTGTGGCCAACACTCATGTGTTGTTCAATCCCCGGCGGGGAGATATCAAATTGGCCCAGATGGCCTTGCTTCTAGCAGAGATTGACAAGATGGCAAAAACTACTGACGGCAGCTACTGTCCTGTCATCTTGTGTGGAGACCTGAACTCAGTCCCTGATTCTCCACTCTACAAATTCATCCGGAATGGTGAACTTTCCTATCATGGGATGCCAGCCTGGAAGGTAGGTTCCAGCCAGACCTGGGTTTGGGTATCTGTTTACTGCATGCTGCTAGGGAAACGCATGGCTGCATTATTTGTCTCATGAGAAAATAGTCTGACTATTTAATTCAGTTATTCATCAGTCTTCCTCAGTGCCCCCAGCTCTGCTGGGGAAAAGAAATGGACAAATATCTGCATGTTGTTTTCACCACTGCTCGTTTGGTTTCAGGCAGACTAGTGATAATAAACCACTTAATTTCATGTCCTGGTTCTCCCTCGATATGAGGTTTTTTGTGCCTGGGTGACTGGGAGTGTAGGGGAGTACAGAACTTACTGAAATTTGATGGTGGATGTTTGATCTGAAAAAGTTTGAAATGGGGACCTACACTAGAGTCTCTTATGGTTACCCAGTACTGTGTATCCATGATCAAATACATCATTGACTTTCAAGCTAAATCACCAGTTTAGTAATAGATGCCCACAAAGTATCTTGTCAGGTGACTTATAGTTAATTGCATCCATGCTGCACAGCATAAGGTTTATTACATCTGCACCATATTGTGAATGGCTTAGTTCATGCTCTTCTATGAGGGCATTCTCCTGTCTTTCTCTTGGCAAATGTATATATGTACATTGTCTATAGCTTGTGTTCTGCTCTATGTTGCTGATGTTTCTTCTCATGTTTCTGGCCTCCTTACAGGTGTCTGGTCAGGAAGACTTTTCCCAACAGTACTATTCACGGAAACTGCTGGCTCCACTGTGGCCGAGCTCACTGGGTGTAACAGACAGATGCCAGTATGTCACTCTGTGCCAGCCAAAGAAACTTGGTGAGCTCCAGTGCGCACTGAGAACATGAGTTTGCTGAGGATAGACAGTTTGTGGGCCCTGCTGTCTCTCTGATTAGCTTGGACATGTGTTGCATGGGGCACTCAGCAAATATTCTCTTCTTCTATCCATTTCCTTAATATGTGAATTAAATGTTTTTCTGGAGTCTATTGCTGTAGCCCAGTTTCTGCCATGTTCTTTCTCTAGTCAGGAGCTGAATGTTCCCCTTCCAGTAACCATTGCTTTACCTCTTTCATATTCCCAGACTTACACTTCCATGCAGTTTTAAACTATGTTCAGCAGCCACAGCTTTCAGCTGCAGGTGCTTGTGAGAAAGGTTTTGGGCAGTATTTGCACACTAGTATTTTGAAAGTAATTCCTAAGAGTCCAGCTGCAATCACAACTGTTCTCTGCTGTCTTTGGAGAGGCTTAAAAATATGAGCCCAGACTAAGTAGGTTTTGTTGAAATCTTGAATGCACAACTTGTAGTCAGCCTTTTCTCCAGAATTGTTAATTCTTTTTTGGCAGGCATTTCCTCGACAATAGTAAGTCCCTTGAACTTGTTGTGTCTTAGAGGGGACATTCTTAATTTGTTTCATCAAGGTGCTGACCATGACTGTTGCATTAGCTGAGGGGATAGTAGTAACTGTGCTCTGTTTTACTTTTACGCATCTTTTCTGTTCTACATTTAGCTTATTGATTCCCATTCTCATAGAATCAGAATGCTTAGACACAAAAACTTCTCTCAAACTGAAGAGGTCTAAGAGTTCTAAAGACCTGAAGATTATGTACATGCTCCCTGTAGCTGTGACTTTGCTGCAGTTATTTTCTTCTTTTAACTTGTATTTTTCTCTGCAGGCAGACATAAGTACAGCCGGGACTTCCTGCTCCAGTTCCGTTTCTGTGATATTGCCTGTGAACGACCACAGCAGCTGGTCCTCTTGGAAGGTGTGACAGATGCTAAACCAGGTATTGATGGGAGATTTTTTCAGCTTGTGACTCTCCTAGCTTGCTTTTAATGAAAAAATTAGGTGAAGGAAATGGCTGGTGAGAAAAGGAGAAGGCAGAAGGGTGCCTTCTGTGGCTGTGTGGTTACTACTGGATTCCGTGAGACCTCAGAGTACAGTCTAACCACCCTCATACAAACTGGTTGTGTTCCTGGAGATGCACTGAGATTCGGCCTCTTTTGGAGGCTGTTTCTTATAAAGTGAAGTATATATTTGGTTTTTTCTGCCTCAGGATTTTTGGTGGGGGAAAACAAACCTGAAGTTACAATCTCGCAATTGCCATAACACAGATGTCCCTGTATGCTGATACCCAATACACACTGTTTCATCTCTGGGCCTTGTGTCATGGCTGGTTCTGCACTCTCCATTTCTGTTCTGCCTTTCTAGATACCCTTTGAGTAATCTGTAGGCTAAGGCAAATTAACATACTTTGAGAGGAAAGGCTGAAGTACCCTAAGCTTAGATAATACTAAAATGCTTTAAGGACAGAGTCCTTAGCAGCTCACGATACAACTTTTCACTTGTTTGCACTGATCTGTTCTCAGAATGTTCCTGTTAGTCTTAGAGCTGGGGTTTCCTTTGAACGTTTTTCTTCAAGGTGCCTGTGACTGAAATCTATCTGCTCTTTTTGGGCAAAAAGATGTGTCTGGTCTCAGGAGAAGCTTCTCAGACTTGGGATGAGCAGTGTGTTCCAGGATCTAGGTAGGTCTGGCTGGAATCTCTTTGCTCCTTTGCAGACTGCCCTGCACACTCGCCCAAGCCTGCTGCCTTGGTGAAAGACCCTGATCCCCAGCCATTCATCCCAAGGTAATTTGGTGCAACTTCAATGGCTCCACTCTTCAAGCCTGGTCTCATTTTTGTGAGCACTGAAAATCTGACTGAAGTAAAGACTGAAATTAATGTGAAGGTGGAAGACAGTAAGGAGGACTGTCAGGAAGAGCCAGATCCACCCAAGGTTATCCCAGCAGCTGTGTACTGTTCTGTCAACATTATGTTGGTGAGGTCAAAAATGAAGGGTATAGACAGGACTGGGCATTGGAAACAAAGAAAGTTCATAGTACACTTTGTCTTTGGTGTAAGTGGAGTGAAAAATTCTGAAATATTGCCTTTTATGTGTTCACAAAGTAGAAATAGTTTGGCCTGTTGCATGAGCAGGGGAACATGCAACTTCAGCTGTGACTGCAGTATTGAACACTGCATCAGTCTGTTTCTTTCCATGGTAAATGGTGGCTGTTCATGTGCAGGTCTTCAGGTGTTATCCAGCATGGCCTCAACCTGACCTCTGTCTACAGCCACTTCCTGCCACAGAGAGGACGCCCAGAGGTCACGACAATGCCCATGGGGCTTGGAGCCACTGTTGATTATATCTTCTACTCAGCAGAGCCTGTGAAGAATGGGAACAAGGGGGGTAAGTGTGGCAGTGTGGGGCTTATCACTGTGTGATCTCCTGTTGAGAGAGGACTGTGAAGCATGCTGGAGTGCAGCTCGGTGTTGTGCGCTGCATTTTGTTAAGCTGGGGTGGTTCTACAGGTAGTGACTTTCACTGAAATGATACACCAAGCTGAAGAAACATTTGCTCGGGTATCATGAAAAGACACTGTTTATCTTTGCTGTAGAAATACAGAAGCTGCTTATCTTAGATTCACATAGACTTCTGGGAAAGCTAGAACAGAGTGGATTCAGTTCTTTGTGCAAGTATTTTACCTGTCCTTCAGGCAGTGCTGGGTCCTAAGTGACATCAGACTTCTGGTCTGAGTGAGACCATACACTGGCCTTAGAAGGTGGTCACTCTGTTTACCTTACAATGGTATCACCTGTCTGCTACCTGAAGCAGGAGTTATGTTGATGAAAGACTGCATGTAAATGCATCCAGGAAGTATTTCTGAGCTGGTTCAGATCATGTCAGAACCAACTTTGGGGAGGACGTTAGGAATGAAGAGAATAGTTCCTCCTCAGGGGAGAATCTGAAGCTGTTGCTAGGACTTAGTACCATGAAAGGAACTTCACATGTAAACAGCTGCTTGGTGGATTTACTGTATACTTGATTCCTGTTTCTGCAATTATATTAAACCATTGAACAGCAGTATTATAGGATGCACAGTGCTTTCACAGGTCAAAGGTTCATGCAGCGTTTGTGCAGGTCTTTGTTTGTCAGGGAAAGACTAGGAGAGCATTGAGAAGCATTCCTCTGTCAGCATATGGAGTTAATCTATAGCACCAGTCTCTGGCTGATGTTTATTTCCATTTGCTTTGTTAGGTCGCAGGCTGTACCAGGATGGAGCTCTGAAGCTGCTTGGCCGCCTTTCCCTTCTCTCTGAAGATGTCCTGTTGCTGGCAAATGGCTTACCAAATCCTTTTTGTTCATCTGATCATCTCTGTCTGCTGGCTAGTTTTGGCTTGGAGATCTCCAGCCTCAGAGAGGGTTAGTGTTGATTCCTTTTCCCTAAAGAAAAGCTGTTCTGGATACAGCTGTTGAGGATCTGGATTGCACAACCTGCTTGCAAGAAAGCTTCCTTGTCATGCCCTTGAAGTCCCTTTCTCCCCTCACACTCTCACAAAAAGCAGGGATTGGGAGTTGGAGCATGTTTTGCATTGGTATTTTTTGGTCTCTGCAAACCTGAGCTGTGTTTCCAATGGGCTTCTATTTATATTCAGGCATTACCATCTCTTAAAGGGATCCTTGTTCCACTGCTTTGTTTAGTAGATGTTTTAGTGCTGTGGGAATCAGTGTAACTCCCATGTTTATCTGCCCCTGTGTGAGATCGTCAAGGAGCAGAGGATGTACACACCAATATTATTTTACACCAAAACAACAGTTCTTTTAATTTCTCAGTGATAGTTTATGAATATGGGTCCTTCCAGGACTAGTTGTCATGTTGCCTTTGGGAGTGTTGGCTCTGCTAACTGCTTGGAAATGGCTTTTACTTAATAAAGGCTGCCTTGCTGGCAGAAAGGTTTGTGTAGTTGAACAGTCTACAAGAAGTTGCCTGCTGTGACTAAAATACACTAGGGAATGGGATTGCCAGGAATGGAGCCAGGGGTTCATTCTACAGAGCCACCTGCAGGAACTCTGGAGCTGCAGCAAAAGCCTAGAGGCCTTGGGGATGGCTCCCTTCCTTCATAGCAGTCTCAAAATGGTACGTAGTTTGGCAATTGTAGGAAAAATATTTATGATCCTCCCAGTGAATATCAGGTGGAAAAAATAGTCCTGTAAGGAGTGACAGCCCAAGGAGGCTATAACTCTGGAAGGTCCTAAAAAAAAATGGAAGGCATGGGAGAGGCTGCAAAGCCATCAGATGGAAGTGCTGATAGTTGTCACTTGCCTTACTCTTTGTGCCCTCCCTATTCCATTCAGCCTGCCAGGAGTCAGATAGCCCCTGTAGCATCCTCCTGCACCAGACTGAAGTTCATGCCACTGCCTTCTGCAGCCAGCTCTCTTTAGGTAGATAGGATCTGTAGGACTGACTCCTGTCTCCTGACAGGCACTGGGCGGGAAGGGAAGGCTGTGTAACATGGAGCTGGAGTGTCAGTCCCTTGGATCTCCATGTACCTTGGTGTCCTACCAGTGCTTTTGTCAGCAGTGGCTTGGCCAATATAAAACCAGTAGAACTGCATCCGCTGCTAGGGCATATTCCCCAGTTCAGCCTGACATTTAATGCTCCATTTTTTTTTTCAAGAGAGATGAGAGAAATATTGGCAGAAACATCAATGTTCTGTTCACAAATGAGACAGGGAAATGTCATTCTACCTCACATTCTCGTGGGCAGCTACAAGAAGACTTGAAATATTGTTCTCTATTACTGAGTTATATTGAGGGACTTTCATATTTTTAGTATTACTTGCTTTATTGAAAAAAAATTCTAATCTAAGAAAAAACTATGAAGTAACTCTTGCCTTGTGCTCCTCTCAGCTGAACCCTCTGAGAGCTTGCTCAGAAAGACTTTGCTGCTGGATGTGAAAGAAGAGAGAACAAATTAGCTGCACTAGACATTAGTAACAGGGGTTGAAGAAATGGAACAAGTGCACCTAGCTGTTGTCTCCCAGCACATTCCTAGATCCAATAGGTGGGTTTTACGTGGCTTGTCTTGCAAAATGGTTTGCATTCAGGAACCTTTCCCCTCCTCCCAAAGAAAGCAAGTGCTGCTGATCTTTTACTTCTGTAACCTGTACAGAGATCTGGTGTGTGTGTGTGGGTTGTGTTCTGTGCCCATATGCTTGTGTAAGGACTGCATACTCCCTTTTTGCCCCTGCCAGATGGTGTGGTGTTTGCCTGGTGGTGTGCATGGCTTTTGCTACCCCAGGTGGCATGACATGTAGAAGTCTATACAAAGTGAACAGCAATCTGGGGCTGAATAAGCTTGCAGGTTTTTTTTCCCTTAGTTTCCCAGGTGATGGTTCTGGAGTGGCACTGGTGTTTATACATGGGGAGGGATGCAGAGCTGTGTATTTCTGTATCTCTGTTTATCTGCCAGTTGCACTAATTTCTGCAAGTACTCTTATTCTGGTTTTGTAAGTGGTTGTATTTGGAAAGGGAGAGGAGGAAAGGGAAATGGGTGAACTGAGAGCTTAATTTTCTGCCAGGCTTGAAAAGAGGTTGCTAGAAAGCAGCCTGGTTGGAGGTAACTCCCACCAGCTGCTAACATTTTAATAAGAAACTTGGAAGACACTAATGGTTTAGAAACAACCAACCCAAACAAAATAAAAACTGTGACACATAGTATTGCCACCGGGTACCTTGTCTGTCAGCTTCCATTGCAAGTGCCTTGGTGTGATGGTCAGTGGATGAGGGCGGCAGTTTGTGTGAAAGCTGCCCTCCTGCCTCGCCGGGTGAGACCTATGGGTGTGCACACTACACTGATGGATGAACTGGTTACCCCTGCACTGGCCCGAGCACCCTGCCAATCCTGTCATGTAGTTGGGACTTAGGAGCCGTGCTTCAGCATCACAAGTGCTTCTTCCATTTTATTTAAGCCAAAGACTAGACATTCCTTTTGGGTAACTTGCATGAAGGCATTTCTTTGGGAGGTTTTAAGGATCCAGCTATATTTTGTTTGAAACTCTAATGTTCCACAGGTCAAGCTAATGATTTCTCTTTCGATACATGAAACAGCATAGCACGAACTTGGAATGGTTAAGTTGTTGAGCACTGAATATGGATACATGTGCTGAGAAAGCCAGGGACATTGCCTGCAAGTCCTCTGGTTATTCTTTCTGAAGGTTAGAAAGCTCCCAGAGGGACCTGCAGCTCCCATAGCCGCAGCTCACACATGCTTCCTTGGGCATTCATAGGTGAAAACTACTGCAGAAATACAAGACCATTGCTAGTGACTGCATACAGACACACAAAGACAGAAGTGAAGAGTTCATCACTGTGGTTGTTTTGACCATTGACCCTGAAGCTCTGATACAGACCACTGCAGAGCTGGCCTATTTCAGGAAAGAAAAATACCTATGTTCTAGAGTACTTTGGAGTTAACGTCAAATGGATCTGGAGACCTGTGAATGCCTCTAGCTGTGGAGGACTGCAGGAGAAGTTTTGAGGCGGGGTAGGTGGAAAGAGGCCCTACTTCTAAAATAGCAACTAGTATAGTTGTAGGGAGAAAATGTGTTCTGTGGTTCTTTAAGAGTAGCACATAGTGATATAATAAGAAGCTGTGGTAATGAGCAAGTCATGGTGGTATGCAGAACTTAAGATTCCAGATGTAGCTCTTAACACTGTTTCCTGACAGCTTTCTGAGGAATTGCAGAGGGATTGGTGATGGTTATGGAGGTGGAACAACAGGAATATCTGCTATACTCAGAAAGCGAAGGTATCATAGAGGTAAGATCATCTACATCATCTTAGTTGTGATGTAGCCCTTAGGGAGCCTGGTGCTTAGGGGAAGGGATGCTAGAGACTACTGGCAGTGTGTATACGTACACTGTTTCCTAGGCTGCAGTAGCCTGCAGCTGTAGAGGCAAACATGTATTTGACAAAGTATCTTTGCTCAACAACAGCTTAGATTGCACTACAGCTGCTAGGCTGTATTTAGTTATGCTATTTAGATAGACCTTGAATTTCCTTCATGTTCTCAGAGTTTTAAATTCAGCATTTCAGTAGGATGCCCCTTATAATCAGTTTTCCCAATTACATGGGATGGAGGAGTGGTAAACAATGTAATTGCTCCAGCTTCTTTCCTTTTCTCAATAAATGAGACTCGGCTGCTGCTTGAGGTCTTCTTTCTCCATGCCTCTTCCTTATGAGATACCCATCCAGCAGCTGTTTTCCCATGACTGCCGTATCCAGTTATCTTTCTGAGTTGCTAGTGTTTATTTTTTTCTGCAGCTGTATTTCTTCAGTTAAAAGGTATGGGTAGAATTATTTAGGTCTAAGTCTTACTATAAACTGTCAGGCCATAAGATAGCAGGTTTCCTCACTTCTTAAGAGTCCTTTGATAGGCATGGGTGCTCTGAAATGAACACTGAAATGGGAAAAGCTCTTGTTTTATATATATGTGTATGTGTATATATAAAGTTTATCATTAGTTCCCTTCACCACCTGTGAAGGCTTGACCTTAGTTCCTCTTCTCTGAGGAGTATTTTACAGGCTCTAAGAACAGTTCAGCATACCTGAGAGAATCTCTCTTAGAGCCAATCAAGATGTGTGTCCTGCTTCTAATAATATTTGAGAGTGGTGCTGGCAGATGGGTTTGATGTTTCCACGGTGCAGTTTCTCCTCCCACAGCCACCACCTCACTGGTGAACATTTATTGGATGTCCAGACATATCCATGGTTCATCCAGATGAAGCCTTTTGTGGCTCATTAAAGGAAGAGCACACAAGTCTAAGTGGGATACCATCTCCTTTCAATTGGCTTCCTCTCCTGCAGGGTGATTGAATAGCTGGCTCTGACCTGCTCCTTACCAGGCTGTAGCTCCCTGACCTGTAGGGCTTTCCACAGCAGTCACACTGAAATGCTCAAGCTGTGTGATCACTGCCATAAATGTGATCACTGCTGCATCGTGTTGTGAAGTGTGATACTGAGCTTCTGTAGAGAACTCTCCTGCCAGACAACTGATGGCATGCCTCAAGCACCTTCCTTTTGTCAGCTGTGCAAGTTTGGCATCTCCTGTCAAGGCAAGTTATCCTCCAACTTCCACTGAAAATGTCATTCTAGTCTTGAAGCTCTTTTCCTTTATTTTAAAGTGTATTAATTTTATTTCAGATCTAGACTGCATTCTTGTGCTCTAAGGGAATAAGAAAGCTGTATAATAAAGCTGGATTTTTTCCCCCCACTTTGGTCAGACAAACATAGCAGCTTTCAAGGTGCTGAGGTGGCAGATGGGAGAAGGACTAGACTAGACGTCGGCATGTGCTACAACAGAAGATGCATTTGTTGCATCCAGTCTTTTATACACAAAAAAGACTTAATGCATCAGCAATGTTCTTCAGTTTTTTAGTCTCTTCTTTCTGGATGGAAAGCCTTCTACAGCAGTTTTATTTGATTCAGTTACTGGTCACTTTTGGGA